AAATCCTTTCACACTGATGGAAGAAAGTCACTCAACCAGTTCATGTATTCTACGTCAAATAAGATCAGAACACGTGTATAATTACAACATCCTCAGGATACCAATAACATCGAAATGTACAAATTAACAAACATGACCAACATTATTATTTCATGATAATGTAGGTGTCATGCATGTAATTATAGCTATATAAACATATGTTTAATTATTCAGTTTGTGTGAAGTCGGTCATAAACAGTTGATTCTGAAATTCTTTAATCATGTACTTTTAAGTATATTTTCCCAATATTATATTATCCCCAAAAGGGCAATTATATTCATGTTATGTTTTTTCAGTCAATTTTTGAATACGAATTACATTTATGTTACTTTGATTTTATAAGACCAATGTTGTTGTTACAGACCAAGGGACCGACTAAGTTCATTACATGTCATAAAAGTGCCGGGACATAATGTGGTGGCAATATATTCTCTAATTAACACCTGTCACAAAGGGACGGGCCATTTGGGTTTGTCCTCATGGAATGTGTCATGCAATTTGTGTATTCACGAAATAACATTCAACAAACTATGTACTTAGTCCGGTGATTTAGGATTGATGCATTTGTACTTCGTTTAAATAAATGAATTACATTTTTTTCTTAATCGTGTGCGAAATACTCATAATGTCGAAAAGCGCAGGTTAAATCCCCAAATACTGACTTCGTTTCTAAATAAATCACAACCCTCACTTATAATTGTATCACTTTAAATTTTAATGATGTAAATCACGTACCTGTCACTTTTAATGTAGAATACGTCAGTCACTCAACCAGTTCCACTATTATTTTCCCAAAAGATCAAAGATTAAAAAAAGTTATCAAGTTATTAATTTCCATATCTTTAGAAATACTTAATCTTAACATTGAAACTGCCATCTTGATTATTATTCTGTATTGAATGACATTAGATATATGCTCCTATACCGCCGCTGGTTTCTTAATTTGCGAAAATTAAACATTTGGTTTGCATCCAACCATGCGCGTGCCAAATTATACAGCGTCAAGCTTTCAGAGCGCCAACTAAGTTTTCCAAAGTAGAAATTAAGCAAAATGAATATTTATCAAGTTTCCTTTTGCTAGAACATATGCATGCTGTTGTGGTTTTTCAAAAAAATCTTCGTTCTCTCTGTTGTTAACAATATTAAAACAATAAGTACTATAAAATATAATACGGAAATATATTACATATTATTTACGCATCCGGCTGCTCACAATACAATGCTAGTAAACAATATTTGTGTCCCAGGGAGTGAATACCAATTAGACCAAGCCAGCTCTACAGACACTGACTCTCTCAAAAACAGCAAGGTACATTATACAGTTAATTGAAAACTGTAATCTCAAACATATCTAATGCTACTTCAACACTTGATCATATACTTAGCAGTTGAATATTCTGTAAAATTGAAATTAATCCTCTATTAGTTTACAGTGACGATTCTTGCAGGCTATATAATGCAGGCGCGGCCCGTTATGTTTCATTCAATCTTTATCTTTCTCACTTTCTTATAAAGGCATAATGATCAATAATCTCTTGTGTTGCAGTATGAAATGTTAATTTATTGTGAGTAAGGCTAATCCCTTTCTCCAGACATTAATTGATCACTCACCAACAACTGACAAGGGATTAATCCTCGTTAAGGCAGTACTAAGTGATACAGTATACTGCAGGTTAACTAGATTAATTAACTAATTAAGGGTTAAATGAGATTGTTTACTTAGAGTGTGATGTAATTCGTTTGATGTCGTTGTATGGTAAGCATACCCAACACTACCGGTAGCACCTGGCATTCACAAATAGTGTTGTTCTAATACATCAAGCTATAATACTGACACGTTGCTTAAGGGTTATCGGAATAAATTTGAATTTGATTTTCACATATTTTCCTCGTTTGCTCATGAGCATATACATGGATGTACATGCATATGCATTATAAATTTGAAATGCAATTGTAAATAAAGTTGTTGTTTTTCTTCAGAAGAGTCGTAACAGAGTCCTCGGGATACGCCATCGCAACCTTCCCGTCTAGAAGAAACAGAGGTACGAGGACGCATTAGAGATAGTTCAGTTGATGCCCTCCGAGGAAAGTAACTATGACGAAGACGGCATAAATATTTTTTACAGTACGACCAAAGAACTGCGAGTCGACGGAACAGCAGATGGCGAAGAGGCTCGCAGATGAGACATACATTAAGAAGCTGGACAGTACAGCAGCCTTCCCTAAGGCAAGACGTGTCCGTTGACCACCATCCCAAAACCCATTCCCTGACACGAAGAAGGATCTGTCAATACCGAGTATGGAATCCCGTAGTGTTGTGTTGTGGTGTGGTGTGTTGTGGTGTGGTGTGGTGTGGTGTGGTGTGGTGTGGTGTGGTGTGGTGTGGTGTGGTGTGGTGTGGTTGTTTAAATAGTGACACTTTAATAAACTACTCTTCTTCTTCTTTTTGTTCATTGTCAAGATGCCGTGTATAACTTCCTAGACTGCTGACATGTGTTAACATTTTCTATCTTCAAATACCACGATGTGCCCACTGATACCGTCATTATGTTGATTGCCTGATTGTTAAGAACTATCAGTTGCGATATATTATATGATTGCTTTGTATAACATCGGCATGCTGTTCACTTTCATTGGGACTGGATTCTTTGCACAATAGCCAGAGTATCTCACTGTTAATTATTTTTCTTATCATTTGCATTTACATAAGTAAAGAACATATCAATTTAATCTGAATACGTCAATGTGTAAATTTCTTGTTCTAAAAAATACAGGTATAAGTATTCATATTCGACTTCTTATCATTTGTATTTGTAAGAATTTTTTGAATTTTCTTGCGCCTGTTGTACATTACATTTATGGTCGTAGTTTGTTGACTTTGCTAACGATATTAGGCTGAGCCCCCAGAAATGTTTTAAACATTTGATTGCATTTTAAGCAATTTTGTGCCGTTTGAACAATATTCATACCAACAAATGTAACAGTGGCAAAAGCCAAATAAATAAAGATGGCGGATGCAGTAAAATTTCGGAGTTAAATCAGTACTTTTAAAAATTCGGGAATAGCATTATTCCACTAAAGTGGACTTGTCCAGTTAGAGGTTGGGTAGCACTGATAGCAAGTGTCGCTGAAAATCACTGGTGCATGACTTTGTTTATTGTAGACTGTAGGCAGACAGTTAGACAGACAGATTGTTTATTTGGCTTTAGTGGATGTAGGCATTAGTCGACGCCGCCGCCACCTGGGAGCAATACTGCCACAAACGTGCAATGTCCCTTTTCCCATGTTGAAGCATATTGAGAAAAGCTTACCTTTGTACTTACTTATCTTTTGTAAAACATAAGAAATTAATACAACATATATCCCCGTGTTATGGGTTTTCGGACGCTGAATACACATTCATAGTTTTTTCACATGAACAACTGTAAAACATCTCATTCACTTATAAAAGACAACTTTATCATAAAAAAGTCATTATTGGAGTATTAACAATTTCTGTGTGAGACGCGATTTTCCGCGTTCCGCCGAGATTTGACATTATAACAATGTATACCCTACAATTAAACCGACAGCTCAGAACAAACCAAATTCAACACTTTAAATTAATAATAAAATAGTTTCATCCTCTGTGAAATCCACTCTGTTGGCTAATCTGCCATGTGCACGAGAGCATGTTACAAATCACATCGCGGCCTCCCCGGACAAACGAATCCAAGCTCAGCACAAATCGATTTCAACACTTTCAATACAGAAGTCACGGCCAATGCAATCACCCCCGACAGCTTATCCATAAAGTCTACTCACATACCAAGCACCGCGCCAGGAAAAGTACCAGACGCCTCAATCGCTTACCCGTCAATATCATTGCAAGGAGAGTATGTACTCCCGCTAACAGGGTGGAGTACTAATTAAACATTCCAGTAATGTTACACGCCACTATATCAGTTTTTTTGTAACTTGCTGATACTATTTTGCACATACAAAACAATTATAGAACAATACATAGCAATTATCCTCCTTTACCAACATATACAAAGAAACACAGTGCTCAACTTAAAACACTTCAATTTGCACATATATAATAATTATACACAGATACATAACAATTATCTCCCTTTACCAATATATACAAAGAAAACAAATTTGGATACACCATATATATAAATTTGTATATTTTTCTATATGTCGTATATATAAACTTGTATATTTTTGTATATATCATCATTCCAATCTTGTATATGCTTTGGAAATATCATCATTCCAAAGCATATACAAGCTTGTATAGATGGATTTTTTTTGCAGTGATTACTTCATACATGACGGGTACTAAGGGTGGACAGGTCATGCTTACTCACTTCACACATGACGGGTACTAAGGGTGGACATGCTTGCTTACTCACTTCACACATGACGGGAACTTAGGGTGGACATGCTTACTCACTTCACACATGACGGGTACTAAGGGTGGACAGGACATGCTTACTTACTTCACACATGACGGGTACTAAGGGTGGACAGGACATGCTTACTCACTTCACACATGACGGGTACTACGTTACGAAAAAATTTCCCTTTCGATGCTATGGCATTCCAAACGTGCGGTGTGAAAAACAAAAACCTTTATTATAGCTGATGGAAAACATGATGGACACACGGAACCTTATTGTAGAATGCTAATAGTCCCATATGGTAACACATGCAACATTATGGGTCGGCGGATTCCTACGTGCATTTTATAGAAGGTAATTTCCTGGAGTATACACTAGTTTCTTCATGTTTGCTTTCAAAGACATATTAATGAGTGGTATAAACGGATTTCTTTAAGGATGACAGTAAGCTAAAAAATCAATGTTGTGTTTTCTTTCTGTTCGCACAGAGTATCAAGAAATGTTAGGAAAACATTATTTACTATTTATGCCATTAGGATATGTTAAACGTTTTGGGGAAATGAGTGACTTACCCTCTGCGTACAGGAGCATGGAAGAGCCCAACAGTAGAAGCGCAACACCAGAGAACACATTCATTGTTGCAGTTGAGATGCTGGCGGTTAGCGTGTCATAGGATGCACTGGCGAGTAAACGGATGCATATATGATATAAAGCGTTTTCATGGTTTGGAGCAGCTGTGAAAAGATGCGCATTGATTATGATATCGGGACACAAGCAGCTGGGAACTAATGATGCGTATTTAGAGGGACATAGGGCTAAACAATATTATAAACAAAAAAAAGTATACCTTTCACGATTTCTACTTTTATGAAACTGAATACATTTTATATGTTTTTATATCCGAGTATAAATAAATTATTTGAATTAAGTCGTCAAGATACAAATGTCATGTTTGTCGATTTAATTAATATTTACTAACGTAGGTTCATAAAATATGTATCTCAAATACACTTACCGTATTCGACGTAATAAGCGCCAAGGGCGCTCTCAAAATTAGAAATTGGGGGCCCTTATATGAATATTATTTTGGTGAAAAAAAACAGAATTGAAAGATAAATTTCGTGGTTTATGCTGACAGCCTGAAATGTTTATATACTACAGATATATTTTTCCAGAATTAAATTGCCCATAATTAAGGCTGCATATAGCACACGAGTAAGTCTTGTGTACATTGATCAATCGGAAGGGGTGCTAATTGGGATTTTAAATATCGCCGTGGGCGCCTATTACGTCGAATACGGTACATACATAAATAAGTCATGTTGAACGAGGGGCTTCAAAGGAAAATTTACAAGTCAGTGGCTAGTGCGCAGTATACATTAATACAGGCCTGAGACCTTCTCCACATTTAGGTGACGAAAGGCCCGATAAGTGGTAATCCATATCTGAGGAATATATATATAAATAATTTTACTCCCAAAAGGAACAAGATGGGTAAACGGAGAAGGGAATTCGAAAAAACAGCCATTGAGGAGCATTAATTAATTGGGATATAAAACACGGCTGATTTGTCTTATAATGTCTCTACTGTTACATAAGAGTTAGGACAGGGCAGATAACAGGACAGATACAAAGGTAACAGCGTTTGTGTTGTCATGTTTAACTCATGATGTTTATAATGATGTGTTCGTTGTAGTAAACGTTCAAAATGGGGATATTATTTCACATAATGATCAAAATGTTTATAGTTTGACTTAGATATTAATAAGAAGATGTGTGTAACGGTAGGGACGTTAGTTTGTAGTTTCTTTAACGAATTTATCTTGCAAATAATTTTGTAACAAATTAAACTATTGATCTGTATATAGTTACTGAAAATGTACATGTATTGTTGCCCAACTCCCCATTGTTCTCGGTGCCTTAGGTCTGTTGGCTGACATTGGGAGAGTGTCAGGGGAACGCCCCTGAGCTGCTGATTAGCCTAACGAGACTGACTATGCCAGGATCACGCCAACCCTCATTTGCTGCATTTTTTATATTTAAATAATAATAATAATAATAATAATAATAATAATAATAATAATAATAATAATAATAATGTATTGACTTCCCCAAGCGATTACTTGTTTTACTTAAGTCATTAATGAATTGCTGGTCAACTCAACTTGATATGGGGCAGGTGGTGACTTCGGAACCCATTTCTATCAGCAGAGGAATATTTCAGGGCGATTCTTTTAGCCCTTTGCTTTTCTGTTTGTCACTAAAACCTTTAAACTTTTTGCTTAGCAAAGAGGAAAGTTATCACCCGGGACCTCTAAGCACAGAACCCCAACAGCCCTTACTCACCTCCTTTACATGGATGACCTTGAACTTATAGCTTATGGAGGATCTACACTCAAAAAACAGATTCTGCTTGTCGAGTACTTTTCTAATGATATCGGCATGTCCTTTGGACTCGACAAATGCAACATTCGTCATTTGAAACATGGCAAGGTAGAAGAGGAAGGATCCGTCCCTTTACTTGGAGGAGGAGTTATTGACCATCTTGTGGAAGGTCAGGCCTATACGTACTTAGGGATGCAGATTAGGGACAAACTCCAGAATGCCCATATCAAGGGCAAACTTCGGGCAGAGTACAAATGTTGACTTAAGAAAATCTGGAGTTCAGAACTCTCGCAAGTCAAAGCCACAAATACTTATGCTGTGCCCGTCCTTTCGTATTCTTTTTGGTGTTGTTGATTGGACGAAACAAGAATTTCAGGGTATGGACACCCTCACACGAAGAATCATGTCAGACAATAGATCCCACCACCCTCGATCTTCCCTCAATCGCTTATATTTACTAATCATGATGGGAGGGCATGGTTTGATTAATGTGGAGGCTCTTCATGATAGAATTGTCTTGTGCACTTTTGCACACATTTATTTGTCTAACGATCCTCTTGTGAAGCATGTCAAGATTCATGATGAAAACAAGGCATTCCACAGTTTTCTAAAACGAGCCTTATGTCAGCTGAAAACGAACAAATTATAAAAAGGTTAGGTAAGTTTCTCTTCCAAGTCATGAACATTCGAACGGAAACACAGTGTTGAACGGTAAATCATGATTAAATCAGCATGCAAATATATATACAGTATATTTCCATTGTATTATGGGCCGGTGGCCTGAAGTACCGAATACATTTGTCTGTCTGTCTGTCGGTACTGAGGGTTGGACAGGACATGGTTACTCACTTCACACATGACGGGCACTAAGAGTGTGACAGGACATGCTTACTCACTTCACACGTCACGGGTACTTAGGGTGGACATGACATGCTTACTCACTTCACACATGGCGGGTACTTAGGGTGGACATGACATGCTTACTCACTTCACACATGACGGGTACTAAGGGTGGACAGGACATGCTTACTTACTTCACACATGGCGGGTACTAAGGGTGGACAGGACATGCTTACTCACTTCACACATGACGGGTACTAATGGAGGACAGGATATGCTTACTCACTTCACACATGACGGGTACTAATGGAGGACAGGATATGCTTACTCACTTCACACATGACGGGTACTAAGGGGGTCACAGGACATGCTTACGCACTTCACACATGACGGGTACTAAAGGTTAGACATGACATGCTTACTCACTGGTGGTCCCGTCGTCGTCGTCGTCGTTGTCAGGCCCTATACGGATCTATCTTACGCCTGCTCCCCCACGGAGCTATATCCATCCATTTACGAAATCTACGGATTACCTACTGGATTCCACTTACGGATCACTACCAGGCACCACTGTTCACTGGCTCACGTGGCCACCTGTGTTTACCCTTCTCCTCGTTGTTCCCTATTCCACTCACGGAGATTACCCCTGTTCTTCTGGATTACTCACCCACCTGGATTCACATTATCATCACCGGATTACCTGCTCTTGGTTTGTCCAACTATGTTTAAAATGGACCGATCCATAAACAAGTCTCTCCCCAGGGACATAGTCTGCGTTATTACACCACTCCTTAATTTTAGGGTCTCCTATTTTGCCCTTCACGCCGACATGGCGGCCGCCACCAAAACCATCACCATAACCTTCAATCTAAATGACCCAAAAAGACCCAGACCTCAACCCCCGTCAACTACACCCTACCCACAACCAGTTACAGTCCCAGCCCAGTCACTCAGCCCTCAACCCCAAGCGCTCAATCAGCACCATGCTAGCATGGAAACAGTACCTATCCCCTCGACACCGCCTCATAACAACCATGTCACTATCCCAAACCCACCTTCCCACACCATTCCCCGACTACCCACTCGCCCCCCCCCCCCCCCCACCCCCCACCCCCACCCCCACCCCCCACCCCCTCTGCGGCTCCCAACCAGGAGAAAAAAAGGAAAAGAGTAAACACCCCTACCCCCCCAAATTTTACAATGTTACAGTATTTGAACCAGGAGCGCTTTGAACACCAAATACTAAATATCCAAGATCTAAACTCCTTCTTAACAGATATTCAGGACCAGGGCATTCAACTTACCCCCCAATTCATTAAAAACAGTACGGCCTACTTTGTTAAAAAATCCTACCACCCCCTCACTACCCAGGACTACAGTTGGGTCAAACATCTACTCCAGGGCCTACTTGTCCCCGACACCTAGACCTTTTTCGTCTTCCATGTCCGCCACCACGTCCTTACCCCCAGCCACTAATAACCGTATGGCCAAACTCCCATCTATTATTGTTTAGACCCTCCAAAATAATACCTAACAAACAGTCTCCAAAGGTAAACAAACTTCTTCATTTCGGATCGGGATCGAAATTTCCAGCGCGGACTGTCTTCTACGACGTCCGCGCGATCAAACTCTCTTTACCAGCCTACACAAGCTCATCACCAGTTATCCATACCACCTTGATACCCAAGCCCAGCGAGATGCACAACACCGACCAAGTTCTCCTACCATCCCCCTCCCCTACCCCAGCTAATCTAGACTTACCTGAGGCTTTAACCCATTTTTCTTTATTTAATATAACCCCCTATTTCTAAATTACAGCTTAACTGTAACTTTTATCACCATATGCTTTACATTAACTAGGATTACTATAGCTGCTAAGATTAACTCTATCTCTTTCCCCCTCTCTCACTTGGTTTATACCCCTCCTTTACAGTTTTTTGGGAATGGTGATTATCCTTATTATTATATTATTCATTTTTTCTCTCCCCACCTTCCCCGACTGCGAAATAGCCCTTGACTGAAGCGGTCGTTAAACCATTAATACGAACGCTTACTCACTTCACACATGATGGGTACTAAGGATGTGACAGGACATACTTACTCCCTTCACCCATGACGGGTACTGAGGGTTAGACAGGAGATGCTTACTCATTTCACACATGACGGTACTAAGGGTGTGACAGGACATACTTACTCACTTTACACGTGACGGTACTAAGGGTGTGACAGGACATGCTTACTCACTTTACACGTGACGGTACTAAGGGAGGACAGGATATGCTTACTATCTTCACACATGACGGGTACTAAGGGTGGACAGGACAGGCTTACTCACTTCACACGTGACGGGTACTAAGGGTGGACAGGACATGCTTACTCACTTCACACTTGACGGGTACTAAGGGTGGACAGGACATGCTTACTCACATCACACATGACGGGTACTAAGGGTGGACAAGACATGCTTACTTACTTCACACA